CAATGTCCTCAGAGAAATAAAATACAACTACACACAGCAAAAAAACAACAACAAAAAAACAACAGTTATTTGAGGGAGTAAAGGGAACTAGAACTACTGGCGGACAGATATGTAAGGCACAGTTTAATGAATGTTTCAGTGATCTCTCTGTTACACTGTGCAGTTAACGTGTAGAGGCAAAATTTTGTCGAAATTATATCGTTCCTTCGTGGGCTTTGCCTGCGACGGCATCTTGTTGATATCCCTTTGGCTGTCATTTCTCACCGACTTGGTGTTGGTGACCCTTCTTGCACTTAACCTTTTCCGAATAATTATTGGACCTGGAAGCGATGTGTGATCATATTACTATTGTTACAAATCTATTGTCATTGAGGAGACTCAAAGGTGAGCGTCGACAGAGCAGCGCCCGTGAAAACTTTCGGCAGTACGAGCGGCTGTTGGGTGGGAAGGGGAGGAGGAGTGCCAAAGTCATTCTATCTACTTGCTTAGTTTTGTCGCTACGAAAGTGTAGTCGTTTCCGGAGACAGGCGCGGCTGCTCGCCTCCTTCAGTTTACAGTTATTCAGACTTGTCTGCACCGGAAGGAGTCGTGAAGAAGATGAATCCTTCTCCTCCCCTGTTTCTCCCCCCCCCCCCCCAATACCACCCGATAGCTGCCCCCATCCCCCCAACTGAACTCGCTTAATTCGCTCCGGCAAAATTCATCCATGCTATCGAAAAGCAGGGTTTTAGGTCTTTCTTGGTGGGACCAAAGGAGGACCATCCCGAAAGTACGTCCGTCATCTCGCCACTCATTCGCCGTTACGAGCCTGGCTTTTGCAGCCTTTGCAAGGTCACCTAGCGCCTGATAGGTAGGCAAGACTTTGCCTGCAGTGCAGGCGTGTACTGCGGGGTGGCCTACCCGGACTCTCGCAGGCGCCGAGCTCACGTTCTGAAATAGCTGGCAAAAAAGGCGAATTTTACCTTATATCAGGCGACTCAACAGAGAGTGACATGGAGCCGAGCGAGGGAGGGGAGAACATCACGTCATAAATGGGTGTATACTCTCACTCTTCTTGAGTCGGAAATGAAGCCACATTGTCGCAGCACTATACTTCTGTGCCGGGAGCAACCAGACGAGCCACTGGCCACGACGAGTAGGAACGCGCGAGAAATCGAAAAGCAGGTGATCGGGGTTGGGGGTAGGGGG